AACGGTCATCACTAGTTCTCTAGGGTTTGAAATCGGCTATATTTGTTGTTGCAAAGTTAGAAAAACTACACTACACTGTTTTTGACACAAAAGAAATGCTATACCAATTGTGACTATTTGTGTAATTTCAAGTCGATTACGTCTTACACCACATTCTACAAAAGTTCATCGAATCGTCCTTGGAATAAGGATACAGATTTGTCTATTTATATTGTTTTTATCTCAACATTTAGTCAGAAACTGGACCACACAAACAGCGCAGGTAGAATGATCGCAACTTAATTTTATAGATATTTTGATTTGTGATTAATAGCATCAGTGGGATTTTTTGTGTCACGTTAAAAACCTTATGGGTTGCTGTCCTTCTTTTTATATTAATTTAAAATTCACGTTTTGTAGCTCACTTTGCTCTTGACTAAAGAAGTTTTAGTAGAAATTACTTTTAATTCTTCTTAAATTAAAAGGTAGCCTGTCTCTCTCTTTCACCGTTCATCTTTCATGTAGCTAGTGGGGCATGGGGCGAACACAGAAATGTGTTCGCCCCATGCCCCACTAGGGCGTTTCCCCTAGTGGATAGTGGATTTCACTTTTTTTAAGTCAAAATATATTTTAATTTCCTGTTTCGCTGATAAATGTTACATACTTACATAGCGTTTCGTGCTCTAGTATGCTGGATAGAAGTAGATAGGATAGTAGGGTAGAGCAATAGCATGGAACGCTGACGATGCCGGTTCAAGTCCTGCCCGAGTCGAAAATTTAATAAAAACAATAATAAAGTTTTCATATGTATGTATTTCACTTTTTTATGTTTCCGTGGGATTCAAATCCACGACCTGTCATGCTTAACTTAATGCTAGGCTCTGAGTTTAATCATTGAGCCATGAAGGCAGTCATACATAGAAAGGATTAATTTTATTCTGCGGATTACCTGATGTGGCTAAAAAATGGTATGTGTGGATTGAAATAGAATTCTTTCGCAATACCCCTTGCAATAAAAGATTTGGTATCCAGCGGCACCTGACGCGCTTGCTTTGATGAACAACGCTTAGATCTGTGAACTCTTGATTTTTATAAAGAGCAGGTAGTAATAAAAAATTGTCTTAGCGGTGCCGCAGCGCGTCGGCGCATCAAAAGAGGCGCTCTGCTCCCACGACAAGACTTTAAAAAATATCTCAATATGTTTTAAGGGCCTTACAACTCTTTTGTGTTTATGTGGGATCTTTTTAAGAGCTACTATGGGTGTGTGTGCATTGCTTTGGTGTCCACGCATGTTTACTTTATGCATTGTTATGAGTTTGTGGTTAATTCATAACGTGCTGAAGTTGAATAGTTTTTACGGTATATCTTCGTTGTTATCTATGTATTTAAGTTTCAAATATATTGCTGTTACTTAAATTGCAAATGACAATACGACAAAGAAATATGTAATTTAATCGTAAACAAACACAGTTTAGTTAAAAAGCAGAAAAAAGTTGAATTTAGTTACTTAAATTAAATTTAACAAGGCATTTAAATAAAATCATAACATAAAATTAAAAAAGATGCCGGTTGAAGATGATGGGTTTCTCCAAATTTCAATTAAAATCTGCTATGCTAGCGCCATCTGTTTCCTTGTAATTGGTATTAACATTAGTAGTTTGTCATTTAAGTTAGACTCACTGTACCCTTCTTCCTCGTGAACAGACATTTTTGGAATTTATTGTAGTTTCATAATTTATTAACTTATTCAGCCTTTTTTTTTCTTTATGGTGTTTTATTACATGTATACACTCGCGTAAACAACACAAGATTATATAAACTTGCTCGTATCTAATTCTCTCATCTAATTATTTGATATACGGTTTTCAAATTATTCCATCAACAAATACAACCTCACAAAACCAAAGAAACATCGCAGCGCTTCGGTTTTACAATCAACAGTCTATTATAACAGCCATTATACTTTTCCACAATTATTTTTATCTCGTCTTCATTCAATTGCGCAGATCATATCGTACGCGTTCACGGCTCTCATTCCATTGAAACGGTACAGTAATATTCCGATTTCTCTTAACGGACTAGTACATCGGACACCTAAATTCCTCAGTGAGGCGCATCATGCAGCCACAGTTAAATAAACCCAGCGCACTAATCGTTGTGGGTTAAAACCGGCTGGGAATGGTAGTAAAATAAAGGTACGTACATACGGCATGTCGAAACATTTGATATAAATAGTGCGGTCTCGTCTGACCGGCGACCGTCGAGTCCCGATTATTGGTATGTTTGATTTTCTCTATTTTCAAATCGGTGCATCTGTGGGCGTTGAGTTGTGGACTCGTCAGTGTATATTGTTAAGGCGGGGTAACGTCGCTTTTGGGGACGAGAATTACTCGAGATACGAATTATTCACATTTATTTCCTGCGTTAATACAGTATACTAACACGGTAGTTATTGGTTAGAGCAACAGCACGGGTCGCTGTAGATGTTGGTGTATATTTTTTTTAATTTAACGTCAATTTTTAATTTATACAGAAAAGCTGAAAAAGTCCCTAATAGTAAATTCAATTCTTTACAATAATTTCTCATCACTTACAATATATATTCAATTACAAGTTTCTTTTATAACTGTTCTTCAACAAAAAATATATATAATACCACAATAAAAACTGGTTAATGTAACATCTAATCAATTAGTTTAAAAAACAATGTATGGGTAATCCAATCCAAATTAAGTACATTCACACGTTATCCATTAGCTTCCAATAGAACTAGAATAAAAAGCGGCGCATACGCACAATCGCTTATCCTTTGCGTGTGAACGTGTGGACGGGTCACTAGCATGAAAACTCGTATGCGCCCGCGTCGGTGTGAACTGTGAATAGTTCGCGATAATTGGCTGGCAGACGATGTCGGCTCGCGGCCAGCGACTGTCTTCGGCTCGCCGCGCCACGCGCCTGGGGTTACCACATATAAATTTAAAACAGCCTGACAGGAACGTTTGTTAAAGTAGATATTTATTCTTAACTGGTAAATGGGAGAGAAAATTCTGCCCGTAGCAATAATGAACATTTAGTACTCTATGAATTTATAGCTATTTGTTGCTAAAAGTGTATCCAAAACAATATTACATATTTAAACGATAAAACACTTTTTTTATTATCTACAGTTAATGCCAATAATTAAAAACAATAAAAATATACTTTTGATTGATGATTTGAATTTTGCTTATAAGCAGGATAAATTTCTTAACTTTACTTAACAGTAAATAATGTTAATAGTGGTATCCCCGAGCGCCCGCGCAGCATCGGCGTTCAATTTAAAGCCACTACAGTAAATCTTAATAGCAAATAAATGGCCTTTATTGGTCCGTTTTTGATCCCTTATCAATTAACAACACGCGATATTAGTTTTTAACATTTCTAAACTTCACGAATCATTTAAAATATCATACCTACTATATATACATATTGCTCTGTTAGATTGCAGTAAAGAACAGACGTAGTAGTTAATTTACTAGATAAGGGGTGTAATAGAAGTTCTACAGGTTCGACACGGCTCTGATCATTTTTTACACCCAAATATTACTTTTGTAACACAAAACATTGATATTGTAGTATTAACTTTATTTTTTATATAAAAAATAAAGTTGAGGTTAGGCATGGGACGAACACATTTCTGTGTCCGTTACATTGATCCGTTTAACGGGCAAGTAGTTGACCAGACATATGTGCCCTGCCTGAGCGAAACAATTGTATGTTTCCCTAGCTTTCGATCCCAGGACCTCTCGAGCTTAACGCAATGCTACGCAATACCTACGTTTAACCATTTGGCTATAGTCTTATATAGGTCACTTATAATTATGGAATGTAAAAACCCAATTACGGACTATCAGCTACATTTATAACTTTACAATTGATACAATGTACGGTCTTTCAGGAAAGAGTTACAATAAACGTACAAAGCTTGCCAAGTTAAATCATCAATAACTTGCATCGGTCGTTTCTAAGTGCTAGGATTTCTAATCTAATGTAGGGCGAACTCATTTTCATAACAAGCAAGTAATTGGCACTGCTTTCTCTCGCTACGTATTATTTATCACCGAGTTAGGATTGAACTTAGGACACGTCGCTGGAGGCTTAGCGGGCGCAAGTGCCAATAATTTCTCCATTGGCACTGTGTTTCGAATGATTTGTACTTTCGTGACAATGATTTTATATACTACTAGCTGTGCCCGCGACTTAAAACAACTTTTATAAGTTACTAGCAGACCTGGCAAAGTTCATTTGCCATATTTGCCAGTATTTCGACAAAATCTGATTTCCATCAAAACGGATCATGTAAGGTAATGTTGATAGATATACTGTCGTAGACATTTTTTTAGACCTTATTATTCTATCATACAATATTTTTTGGGTATTTCAAACCGTTTTCGCAGCACATGCAATGGAATCCCTGATAGATAAATCATTTTTTATCTCAGTGTCTTTGCTCTTGTATTGGTCGCTATGTTATGTAGTCTAAACCCTTCCTCGGTAAATGGTCTATCAAACACACGTTTTTCCTGAGATTAGCGCGTTTAAAGAAACAAACTCTTCAGCTTTGTAATATTAGTATAGATAAAAACATTAAATTTTATGGTTAAGTGAATTATGGATGTCGCCGCCGGAGGACCCAAAAAAAAACCAAAATTAATTCAAAGTAATTTAATTAAAATAAAACTTATGTAATTACAATTTAAATTTACTACTAAAGAAACTAGTCTAGTTCCTATCGATGCTAGATATGGAATGACCGAGACACAGTAATAATGTTTAAAAGAAGTAATTGTGAAATGTGGAAGATTCCCATTAAAACGCAGTGTCGGATGGCGCCGGCCTCCTTTGAGTTCGTCGCTACCTCTTTCCGTCAACGTTGCATTCTTGCCTCGTGTGAACGATGTTGCAATAGTACACGGGGCAGCTGCTTACTTGCGATTTGCTAAGGGTGCGTCCATATAACACCTCCCCCCTGAGAACAGCAACTATTTCTGCATTTTGAGATGGTGAAATATTGCTGTCTTCTGCGAACCAGGATTTTCAGGCTTCGCGTAGATGTCATCTCGAGTAGGGGTGTTCTTTACCTTCGGCTGGCGTTGTAGTAACCCAAAGTGTCTTAGTATCAGGACACCTGAGACTACAAGTACACTTATTAGTATGATAGTGTACAGTGGTATAGTTGTATGATAAAGATAGTTCGCTGGTACTTGTTCAATTTGTAGAGTTGGTTGCGTCACTAGGTGATGCTGGGCTTCATGTAATCTTGTCAAGTCAATTGATTTGAGATAAACGTGGGATGAAGAGTTGGCGTGAGCTTCCTTATCGTATGGTAGTTTCATTATCTACAAAGGGCGTCCTTCAATTTGATCATTAGTATTAGTGATAGTGAATTCTGAGGTGAACAGGAAACAATTGACAGGCACTGTGATTAAGTAGGTGCCACTAAGGATGGTGTAGTCATCTCGTGCGCATCGCAGATGAATCTTCGTAGCATTTGGGAAGGATATGATATAGTGCTTCTCGTCAAGTTCTTCCAAGGAGATTCTTGAGAGTGTTATCGTAGTCATCTGGCAGGTCTTGTCCAAGGCTTGGTTAATGATGAGCTCTTGAGTGCAGTCTGGCTGCTGTCGTATCTGGTGGTCCATCTTCTCACCGCAGAGGTACCAGTGATTGTACTTCGGGCATTCTGCCTCCATGTACACGTAACCTTTCCTGTTTGTTGCTATTAGAGGATAAGGAGGGATGAGGGCCTGCTGGTATTTATTAGGAGCAATGGACAATCTATACAAGTCATAACTATCTTTAATAAAAAGAGGTAATTTAAATATAACTACTATTCTGGTACCTGAGAAATAATAACCAGGTTTTATTAGCTCATAATATTCCCTTAGTTCTAACTCTAACACATGTTCCTTACCGTATATTGATATTAACCTATTAATCATTTTACCTAAAACTTTAATACTAATCATTGAGTGGTGCGCGCTTGACGCACGGATAAAAGCTAAACTATTTTCTATTCTAATAAGTTCACTGATAACGTCATCTATGTTCTCTGTAATAATAGCTAAATGTTGCGCAAATTTCATGTATTTAATAAGACTTGAGTCTCTATATGCATCTGAATCTAAAATAATCTTTAAAGTTTCATTAATTTTTATTTGATTTTCAACAAGTTTAGACATGATATCAGAATGCTGGGCCATCCACTCGTTATTTAAAGTAATGTGGGAATTAAACTGATTGATAATTTTATTATCATTATCCTGTAAAATTTTAATAGCCTTATCGTACCTTATTGCATCAGAGTGATCTAAATTACCAGTGATAGTTTTAATTACGGAACCCAAGCCATCAATAAGACCTCTTTTAACTCTAGTAGATTCTAACGATTCTAAGTGGCTAAGAACATTTAATAGTTTAGAGGATAAGTATTCTATTTGTAGTTCATATAACATGAAAGTATCATTTTTCAATTGGAGTTTAAAATCTGCTAATTGGACTTGTAATAATTCTATTTTATCGCTAATATCTTGGAGTTGTATATATTGTAAGAAAGTATGAAAATGGGAAATAAGCCTCGTTTCTCCGAGTCTAAATGGGAGTAATCCAGGACCATCATCAAGGCTCTCAAGTGTTATCTCTTGATTGCGTTCCTGAGCCGTTATCAAACGAGCAGTCAGGACCAGTAGCACCCTGCAACAATTGGGCACTTTTAGGGACTCGTTTTAACCTACTTTTAGCTACGGGACCGCGCTTTCTAGAGGTATATATGTGTATAGGTAAGTCCGCAAGAACAGTATCCTGACTATATCGTGGGGCTAGCTTTTGACGACTTGCTAAAGGGTTGTTAACGAACACGCGTTGTTGGGGTTGGTACTCGATTTCCGGTTCGCGGGTTTTATTTAGGTTTTCTATAATGTGAGTACGAGTACTCAGCGATGACTCATTTATTGCGTCATAGACAAGTTTCATATTGTCACGATGGGTTTGCATGTACTGCTGCATTAAGTGCTTAGATATATCTATATCGAGAGGATCTCGCGGGTCAAAGTGGCCAGTTATAATATCAAAAGGTCGGCACTTAGTGAATGAATGAATAGAACTATTGTATGCTAAAATACCGTACGGGATAAGGTTAATTACGTCCTGATTTTTATGACTAAGTTTTAAAATACGAAGGTGCTCAAGCAAAGTAGAGTGAAATCTTTCTACTATACCGTTATCGTTAGGACTATGCGGCAAAGTTCTATGATGATTAATTTTGTGTAAGGCAACAAATTCACTAAATAACTGATTGGTAAATTCTGTACCGTTATCAGAAACAATAGTTAATGGGAGACCATGGTGAGTGCAGAATTTAAGTAAAGCTTGTAACGTGCTAATAGCAGTACCGTCGCGAATATGATATGCCTGCGCGTATTTGGAGAATACGTCTACTATGGTCAAATATTTTTCATTTTGAATGGATAATAGATCGATATGGACTATTTCGAAGGGTTTTGTTGCCGGGGGGAACTATATTAAACTGTTGCTTAATAGGATTACGGTCATATTTCGCTTGACCACAAATAGTGCAACTATTAATAAATTTAGTTATATCGTCCTTCATCTTTGGCCAATAGTAACGACGGGATAAAGCTAGATGGCACTCGTTTATTCCGCGGTGGTTAGTTTTACCATCGTGGTAATGTTTGAGTATCTCTTGCTGTCTTAAGTACTCTTTAACGTTCTCTACTTCGTATTTGCACAGCACTAAATTCATTGCGGAACTTTTGAATTTATCTTGAATGATCGGTATAATGTCATAAAAAGCTAAGGGAGGATTTATAAGCAACGCGGTTTTTACCTTAGGATTAACAAATTCTTTAATTATATCTACTACGTCTGATTCTAAATTAGAGCTAGAAACTTGTACTGATGTTCTAGTATGCGTATCAAACGGTTTCGAACCCGTTGGCCGTTTTTTAATATCACCTACTACTCTAATGCATAACTGCCTATGATATTTGTTTAGAGGTTCCGCAACGATTGGAATCTCTAAAATTGGGTTCTCTAAACTAGTGTGAGCGGATGCTGTAGACGAATTATCAACTGATGGTGGGCGTTCTGAAGCATTAGCAACTACTGAACTGATCTCCTCGTTATGGATCTCAATGCGGGACAGAGCGTCGGCATTGCAATTACTTGTGCCTTTTTTATAAATAACTGTAAAATCATATTCTGAAAGTTTGAGCCTCCAACGAGTTAGGCGGGAGTTGGGCTCTTTTAAATTCATAATCCACTGGAGTGGTTTATGATCGGTTACAATTTTGAATTTTCTTCCGAATAAATAAGGCCTAAAATATTTAGTTGCCCATACAATAGCGAGGAGCTCTTTCTCGATAGTGCTATAATTTATTTCGCTCTCATTTAAAGTTCTAGACGCGAAACAAACTGGTTTATCTATACCAATTGTGCCCTGAGATAGTACGGCACCAATAGCTACGTTAGACGCGTCAGTTGTGAGAACAAAATCCTTAGAAAAATCGGGATATTGGAGAATCGGATCATTAGTTAATAGTAATTTGCACTTCTCAAAGCAATTTATGTACTCTGTGTCTGCGACAATTTTCCTACCTTTTTTAAGACACTGAGTAAGGGGTTTAGTGACTCGCGCAAAATCGGGTATAAATTTTCGGTAGTAACCGACTAAACCAAGGAACTGTTTGATTTCCTTTGGTGTTTTTGGAAGTGGATATTTCTGAATTGCGGAAATTTTATCAGGGTTTGGTTTAATACCATCCTTACTTATTACGTGACCTAAATATGCTGTCTCTAATTTAAGAAATTCAGATTTATCCATCTGGATTTTAAAATTGGAATCGCGAAGTTTTTGAAAAACCTTTTCTAAATTGGTCATGTGCTCTTGGAGACTGGTACTAAAAACGATTATGTCATCCAAATAGACCAGGCAGACGGTGTTCTGAAGGTCTTTTAGCACATTGTCCATTACGCGCTGGAAAGTGGACGGAGAGTTCTTTAGTCCCATTGGCATGCGAAGAAATTCATAATGTCCGTTTTCGACATTAAACGCGGTCTTCGGAATGTCGTCAGGGTCCATTTCTACTTGGTAAAATCCGCTAGCTAAGTCTAAAGTGGTAAAATACTGACAGTTACCAAGTTTATCTAACACGTCACTGATGTTGGGGATCGGATATTTGTCATCGTGCGTCTTTTCGTTTAACTTACGAAAATCTATCACGAGACGCCATTTAGTTTTACCGGACGCGTCAGCCTTCTTCGGAACTACCCAAATAGGCGAGCTCCAAGCGGATTCTGAGGGACGGATTATACCCTGATCTAGCATTTTGCCTATCTGGTCCCTAACTTCATCTCTATGTACATACGGATATCGATAACTTTTCGTATATACGGGAATTTCGTCTTGGGTTCGAATACGATGTTTAATTTTATTCGTGAATGTTAATTTTTCTCCATCTATGTAGAATACGTCCGCATATTTACTACATAACAATTCTAGATTCGCGCGTTCTTCGGCGTTTAAATGATCGGTTCGAAGTCGTGATAGAACTTCGGTCGCTCGCGGAGTATGCTGGACAGAACGTGAACACTCTACGTTATAAGATTCTGCTTGAACGGGTCGATCTAACGAAAATATTAAATCATGCTGTGATGGATTAAAAACTTCTAAAAATCCGCGGTTATTACAAACAGTAGTTAAGCATTGATTAATGACACAATTAGAAATACTTTGCTCATTTATAAAAGCATCACCGTCCTGCAAATTAATAGGAATTTTAATAATTTTTGAAGAATTAGCCGGTATTATATCTTCGTACCAATTAACGTTTCGCGAGTTATACATGTTAATAGGGTTATTTGAATTACGTGTTATAAGTACTTTATTTTTTAAATCTATTTTTGCCTCCCAATTTTCTAATAAGTCAAGTCCAATAAGCCCATCGAAATATTCATGAAATTTATAGATGTACAATTTAATATTTTCAGGTTCATTAAATTCTGAAAAGCAAGGAATATTAATAGAATAATTATTTCTGGATGTAGCGTGCACATTGGTAACTTCAAATGGATCAAAATTTAATGGAAAATTAGAATAAAAATGTTCAATAGCGTCTGGACAAATAAAAGATTGATTAGCGCCTGTGTCAATTAATAATTTCAAAGGATCCAAAATTTGAATATATGGGAGTTGCCTTTGTGACTGTAAATTTAATTCTATTTTGACTTGTCTGATTTCATGCGCTTCTGAAAATCCTGCTCTTCTACGGAACTAGTAGATGGCTGAGGTTCATCAGAGTAGCCTGAAGGGCACTCATTTAATGGTTCGCAACTCTGTTCTACACAATAAGATTCCGGATAGTAAAAATCATTTCCTGCGTAATAGTAATCATATGCATCACAATTATAATATTCAGGATAATAATAATTTTCATAACTATCACACTCATTCATATTCATTTCTTTAGTTTTAAAATAATTTGAGGCTGGAATATTTCCATGCTTACGCCAATCATGACCCGTCAACTGCGTGGTCAGAGGCCTCTCTCTAGTGACGTAGTGACTAACGCCACTCATAGGCTTAGGGCCTTGATTTTGAGGAACATTTCTAGGCACACTAAAGAAATTATTTTGATGAGGGTTATAGTTAGGTGGTGGGGCACGGAACATTTGCTGCGTGCGTGATGGCATGTTCATCGATCTAAATGGGGCTGGCTGCTGGAAATTCGGCTTCCACTGCTGTTGGGGCGGCTGCCATATTGGCATTGAAGGGGGTCGTGCAACAGGATTGAATGGTTTGAACGCGGGGAAATTATTAGGAGCCAATTGAATTGGCTTTGGCAATTGAACACTTTGAATTTTCTTTTCTGATACTGAATCGTTACGATTTTGAAGGTACATTACGTTCAATTCCTCTTGCACAAACTCCAAAGCTTTTTCAGCACTATCAGGACGCATGCATCTAATGCGAGAGCCTAGAGGCTCTTTCAAACCGCGCACAAATGCCTGCATCGTTAATTTTTTATATAAAACACGTTTAGCTTCTACAGTCGTATCGACTGACTCGTGTAAGGTGACATAAGTCATGATGGTGCTGAATAAGTTAACACATTTATCATAGAACTCCTGAGGCGAACTATTCCCTTGCGTGGCTAACATAAGATCGTTATACAAAGCCGTCTCATCCCTTTGATCTGAGAAATTATTAATCAGTGCGTTTTTAATGCAATCCCAATTTTCGGATATGCCGTTCGAATTAATAATACGCGCGGCTGGCCCAGTAATTTTATTTAATATGCCATTAATAAGACAGAGCTTTGCTAGTTCGTTGCCAGGATTAGCGGTAATATATTCCGCAACAATTTGGTCGCACAAATGAATGAATCTTGGTAATACGTGCGGGTTACCATCAAAATCTGGCACCAGGCGTAAGGCCTTAAAAATTGTGTCTACGTCAGTCATCTCGATTGATTGGTAAGCTACCGAATCTACCGAGGAATCTAAAGTACTATTTAACTCTACACTAATATTTCTATGACTATCCAATTCGAGCCTACGAGCTAATTTTGCACGCGCAGGCCCTCTAGGGGTAGTTTGCCTAGGATGAAAAATTTTGCAAAGTAAAAATTACACTTAAAGGGAAAGGAAAGCAACACACAAGAAAAATTTGAGTGTACTTACATGAACTGCATTCTGGTTCCTCTGGGATCAATGTTCGGATTTATCCTCCGATCCGGGACACCCGATTCTTTTAGATACCCTACGCTTACGGTGGTGAAAGTGACTATCGATATTAGAAAATCTAACCACCGAAGCTTTTTTGAGTATCCTACCGACTGCGCCAATTATGGATGTCGCCGCCGGAGGACCCAAAAAAAACCAAAATTAATTCAAAGTAATTTAATTAAAATAAAACTTATGTAATTACAATTTAAATTTACTACTAAAGAAACTAGTCTAGTTCCTATCGATGCTAGATATGGAATGACCGAGACACAGTAATAATGTTTAAAAGAAGTAATTGTGAAATGTGGAAGATTCCCATTAAAACGCAGTGTCGGATGGCGCCGGCCTCCTTTGAGTTCGTCGCTACCTCTTTCCGTCAACGTTGCATTCTTGCCTCGTGTGAACGATGTTGCAATAGTACACGGGGCAGCTGCTTACTTGCGATTTGCTAAGGGTGCGTCCATATAACAAGTGTCTCTTGAAAAACATTTTTTGTCTGTTGCACTTCTCGATTACTAGTCGATTCCATATTAGTAAAGGGAAGTCTGACAATCTGTGCAACACTGAAAATTGTATATTTCCATACCATTACAAGATTTCTTAATTGAGTAATGGTAGAATATTTTTATAAATAAATAAAATAAAATAATGTCAACAATATATCACTTAAAAAAACACTCTGACAGCAAATAAATCCGGCCAGTTGGTCGTAACAACTTAGCGTAATTAGAAAAAAAAATATCCGCTATTATACTATTAAATTATTCCAATTCTATTTTAGTTACGCAGTTACAATGAATTGTTTACCGTTATAAAAATAACTCCATTTTCTCAAACGAGGTAGTGAGTTGTTATCAATTGCTGTTTATCAGCGTCTGTAAGTCGAGCAAGGACGCCGATAGGAACCGCATTTGTCCTATTGCAGTGTAACCGCAAACCCCGAAAGTAAAAAGTGCAAAAAATAAACTTGCATTTTTGAAAGTCTTTTAACTGTTTCTTGAGTTACTGCTGTCTCCATAACGCAATGGTAAAACGGATTGACTTGCAGCGATTCGAATCCGGGCATCCTTTTTTTCAGTTTGAAAGAAGACAATAAATAAATAATAAAAGACTAGTTTCTCCAATTGCCAACTACGACGAAACAGATGGCGCTAGTTTGTCCGATTTGACTTTGACATTAGGGACACTCTCCATCTAGTCTCTCCTCGTGACCACGGCTGCAAACCGAAGCGTCGGGTCTTTGAGTATTATTAACCAAAGTTTTAGACTTTCTTAACATTTTCTTCATGTATTTTAAAAATGTTACAAGCTCAGGAAATAGTTTCATATAGTTTTCAGTAACAAATACTAAGTTTTTACCTAGTTGTATTAAAATGATATAACACGTGTATTTTTGAAGATCACTGGCTGGATATCCGTGGTGCAAAAATTATGGGAAATTGCCATATATAGGATTCTTATAATTAACTGTGATTAATTCTTACATTAATAAAATTACTTCAAAGGCACTCCATATTTCCAAATTTTAATAGGATCGGACACGATGACACCATGACGAATGTATACAAGTTTGTCATACGTACTTTTTTATTTAAATTAATAAGACACACTTTGTTTTTCGTATTCAAATTTAAAAGTTATTGATGAGTTCATTGACTGTGCGCGGGAAAACAGACATGTTTCGAGCGATATTTCGATAAAAGTTGTTTTTCACGGTTTGTTGCGGTTTTCGACTAAACGAAGTACATTTGAATATCGTTTTTGTAATAGAGAAGGCCAGACAGGCATATTCACTTGATGGTAATACCCCAGCCTATAGCATCATGTCATATTTTCGAACAACTTCGTGTACACATACAAACAAAAGATAAGCCCTATACCTACTATATCAGCGCCATGTGGGATTTTTTTTAAATTTTCCTTGTAGATATTTTTTTATTTACCACTATTTTAAAAATGGAACCGCGGCTATGTGCTGATGTGCTGTGGCATTATATATATAGTAACGTCATTACATCAACGTTGAACGACATTAGATAAATTAATTATAAAAGTTATTTTAATTCGATATTATTTCAGTTAATAATAATATTATTAGTGTAAAATAAGTAATAATGATCGATAAGTTATGAACATAGAGTGTGAAGAAATACTGGGTACTTTACACGAGTGTAAAAAATACTTTTAACGGTTTAAAACGGGTTTTATATTTATGATCTATTACAGGCAAATTCTAAAAACTATTGGCATTCGATTGAGATCATTAAGAATATTCGTAACAAAATAGGTCCAGGCTCTTGCGTTTAATTCGTAGCGTCCCAAAATATATTATTACTATCACTTTTATACTCTAGCTAATAAGTTCATATATCCCGAGCGCACCCATCCCAGACGACGTCTCTGCGTCATCCTCGTTAAGATGAGGCGACTCCCAGTTATTTTCCACGAGAATCGTATGAACAACCTTATAATTCAACTGGCGGTTCAATAGTGCTCTTAGCTGGAAATATTTTGACCGATTTAAATAAAAAAAAAAAACTTTAATGTTCTTCTTACCGATTGGTAATCCTGTAACAGCTTATGATAAACATATAGTTTATT